AAAAGAGGTGCTGGAAAAGAATCACACTGAAGCCCAGGACAAACCCCAGAAGCCTGATCAATGAAATGAATGGTTGTTTTTTTTTTGAAAAGATAAACAAAACTGATAGCATTTAGCTAGACTAGGAAACAAGTGGAATAGACACAAATAAAATCAGAGATGGAAAAGAAGACATCACAACTTAGACTACAGAGATACAAAGACTCAGAAGACTATTATAACAATCACACACCAAGAGGCTGAACAACCTACAAGAAATGAGCAAATTCCTCGACTTAGACAACATTCAGAATTGAATCATGAGAAAATAGAAACTGTGAACAGAATAATGAAAAAGGAAGTTGGATCAATAATAAAATGTGTCTCATCAAAGGGACATCCAGGACCCGAGGGTTCCACTGCTGAACCATACAAACTATTTAAAGAACCATTACCAAGTCTTCTCAAATCATTCCAAACACTTAAAGAGGAGGAACTGCTTCTAAACCCACTCTCTTAGACCAGCATTACCCTGATACCAAAGTCAGACAAGGACACAACAACAATAAAAAAGGAAACTATAGCCAGTATCCCTGGCAAAAAAAGATGTAAAAAAATCCCCCACAAGTTATTAGCAACACAACTGAACAACACATCAAAAATGCTAGTCATGATGGAGGGATGCAAGGATGGTTCAATAATTTATCAATAATATGATACATCATATTAATGGAGTGAAGAATAAGGGACATATGATCATTTCAATAGACACTGAACAAGCACTTGAGAAAATTCAACATTGTTTCATGATAAAAATCCTGAACAAATTAAGTACAGAAGGTTTGCACTGCAGCACAATAAAGGTCATACATGACAAGTCTTCAGCTAATCTCACAGAATGGCGAAAAGTCAGATGTTTTTCCCCTAAGATCTGAAATAGACAAGGATGCCCGCTTTCACCACTTCTATTCAGCACAGTACTAGGAATCCTGGACAGAGCAATTAGGCAAGATAAAAAATAAAGGCATCTAAATTAGAAAGAAAGAAATCATACCTGTATGCAGATAGCATGAGCATATATAGAGAAAATTCTAAAAACTATCAAAAACTGTTATGATCTCATATATTAATTTGATAAAGTTGCAGGATATATCAACATACAAAAACCAGTAATTTTTTTATACACTGATAGCAAACTATCTGAAAAAGAAATCAAGGAAAGAATCTCATTTATAATAGCTACAAAAAAATCCTCTTGTGAATAAATTTAACCAAGGAGATGAAATATATCAACACTGAAAACTGTAAAACACTGATGAAAGAAATTGAAGACACAAATAAGTGGAAAGATATCTCATAGATGTGAATTAGAAAAACAGGCATTGTCAAAATATCCATGTTTCCCAAAGCAATCTACAGACTCATTACAATCCCTGATCAAAATACCAAACTATTTCTTCATAGAAATAGATTTTTTAAAAAGACACTATAAAATTTGTATGGACCCTCAAAAACCCCTGAATAGCCAAAGCAATCTTGAAGCTAGAGGCTGAACTTCAAAATACATTAAAATGTTATAGTAACCAAAACATTGTGGTATGGTCATTGAAACGGATACACAGGCAAATGGAACAGAATGGAGGGCCCAGAAATAAATACACACATTTATAGGCAACTAAATTTGGGGTGTGGGAGGTACTAGGGATTGAACTCAGGGGCACTTGACCACTGAGCCACATCCCCAGACCTTTTTTGTATTTTATTTAAAGACAAGGTCTCACTGAGTTGCTTATCAGCTTTTGCTGAGGCTGGCTTTGAACTCACAATCCTCCTGCCTCGGCCTCCCAAGCAGTTGGGGGGCAACTAATTTTTTTTTTTTTTTTAACAAAAGTATTAAGAACAAACAATAGGGGAAGGACAGTCTCTTAGATAAATGATGGTGGAAAAACTGGATCTCCACATATAGGAAAATGAAATTAGTGTCTTATGTCTCACCATACACAAAAATCAGTTTAAATGGATTAAAGACTTATATGTAAGACCCCAAAACATGAAACTACTAGAAGAAAACATAGAGACAATGACATTGGTTGAGCAATGATATCTTTTTGGATATGACCTCAAAAACACAGGCAACAAAAGCAAAAATAGACGAATGGGTTCTAACAAACTAAAAAGCTTCTGCACAGCAGAGGAAATGACAAAGTAAGGAGACAACCTACAGAATGAGAGAAAGCATTCGCAAACAATATGCCTGATAAGAGGCAAATATACAAAACGAGGACTCAAACAACTCAATAGCAAGAAGTAAATCTGATTTTTAAAAAGGATCTGAATGGATATTTCTTAAAATATCACACACAAATGGTTTATAGATATATGAAAAAAATGTTCAATAAGACTAATTGTCAGGAGAATACAAGTCAAAACCACAATGAGATATGACTTCACTCCTGTTAGAATAGCTGTTCTCAAAAATACAAATGATACCAGTGTTAGTGAGGATGTGGAGAAGAGGGAACACACATGTGCTACTGGTAGGAATGTAGATTAGTGTAGCTGTAATGGAAAAGAGGATGCAAGGTCCTCACAGTATTAAAAGTGGAACTAAGTAAGATCCAGCGATCACAATATTGGGATATATATCCAAAGGAAAGGAAATCAGCATGTTGAAGAGCCATCTGCACTCCCACATTCCTTGCAGCGTTATGTGCAGAACAACCAAGGTATGAAATCAATCTAAGTGACTACCAATGGATAAAGAAAATGTGGTACATACACACAATGAACTACTATTCAGCCATAAAAAGAATTGAATCTTATCATTTATGACAACATAAGACAATTTGAGTGAAATAAGCCAGGCACAGAAAAGCAAATGCTGAGTCACTTCACTCACACATCATAAGAAGATGTTCATCTCATAGAAGCAAAAAGTAGAATAGTTGTTACCAGAGGCTGGGGTGTTTGGAGGGGAATGAGAAAATGTTGGTCAAAATACATAAAATTATAGCTAGGTAGCAGGAATAAAGTCAAGAGGTCTATTACACAGCCTAGTGACTATAGTTAGTAACAGTATATTGTATTCTTGAAAAATGCAAAATGAGTGGATTTAACATTGTTATCACCACAGAAAGGATAACCATGTAAGGTACCACATTGCTGATTAGCTAGATTTAGTAATTCCATAATGTATGTATACTTTAAAACATCACATTGTACAAGATAAATACAATTTTGCCTGTCAATTTAAAAATCAATCAATCCCAACAGCTTAAAATATGGACCATGTAAAAACCTTTTCCACTAAAATGACAAAGACTAAAACTTAGTACTGTCTTCTTCAGCAAAAGCCCAGCCAACTTGCCAAGTCAAAGGCCCCAACAAAGCCATGATGAACAGACTGTATCAACAATGCATTTTGCATAAGGAACAGGGCAACACTGGCTAAAAATCATACTGCATTTCTGAAAAGATTTTTAAAGTGCACCAAGTATATTTTTTAAAATTAAAATTTCTAGATTCCCCTAGCTGAAACAATTGCCCTTTCCCATCTACTTCTAAACTCTTAGATTTCAAAAAGAAAACAAAAGTAGGGGTGGAAGGGAACAGCACCACTTGTGGGCAGCTTGGGAAGACGGACTGACTCAGGAACTGGCAGCTCCCCGACACTCCACTCATGGGCAGTTTCCCTTCACTATAAAAGGGTCTGGACTCAATGATTGGAAGTTCCTTCCAGACTGTGGTTTATGATGTGAACTTTCTGATATTTACTTCAACTACTTGTCTAGTCACTTCTAGGATATATAATGGATTAATTCCCAGTGTCTAAAGATAATTCCCAGAGATCCCAAGAATTTGCTGGGTCTGTTTTCATCACAGATGAGACGGTGAAATTGAGTTTATGAAAAAAAAAAATCACTGATACTGTTAATGGGAAACTGCCCAGTGGCTCCATGAAACAGAGGGGGCCGCAAAAACACATTAAGGTAAGACAACAGAGAGGGTTCAAACGCCTAGCTGCAGAATGCCTCACATGAGATTTAGTAATGAAAACTTAGGGGACTAAGAAACAGAGCTGGCGGGTGGTTGTGTTTTGAATATGGTTTGTCCCCATCAAAACTCATGTTGGAGGCTAATCCCCAGTGTAAGGTACTGAAAAGCAGCAGGGCCTTTGAGAGGTGACTGCTTTTTAAGGGGAGTAATACAGAGAATGGGTCGGTTGTTTCCAGACCATGTTGTTACAGGTGAGCCTGGAACCTCCCCTCGCTCTGTCACATACGTGCACCTGCAGGTGCATCTGTTATGAGTAGCATGAGGCCGTGGTCAGGTACGGCTGCTCCATCTCAAACTTCTCAGCCTTCAGAATTCAGCAAAAGTACAACATCTTTCTTTATAAATAACCTGGTCTCTGGTATTGTTACAGCAACAGAAATGGACTTAAGACAGTGGGTGAATTCTAGAGGGGTGGGGTGCTGAGACGCTGCAAACTGTGAATTTAGCCTACTAAATCTTGAAATGTTTCATAAAGGGTGAAAAAGTGGGAAGCAAAGAGTATGGGAAGGTACAAAGGTAGGACACAACCTAAAGGGACTGATGATCACATCAACCTGGTGTATCTTTTCATAACATACACTAAAGTGCAGTGAAGACCACTTGGTGAATGCCTGTTATTTTAGGAGGAGGTAAAATGCTGTGGTCTCCAAGGAAACTTATGAAGTTGCCTGGGATAATGGATGCTTTGTTGTTTCACCTCCTTATATTAAGTGGCCCGAAAAGTTGATTATATAGATAATTTTATACAGTTGTTTACATGGATAATTTCTATAAAAGATTCCGATTTCTAAGGAAAAGTTCTGGATAATTCTTTGAAAATGAACATTCTTTTGATGAAATGATCCACAGGGTCTACTTTCTTGGAATATGCAGGTTTACAATATTGACAACGCTTTTTTTTTTTTAAAATCAATTTAGGATTTCAAATTAATAACAAACTCTGGCCCTCTTGCCTAACTTCTCACCTGGGCACCAGAAGCCTTGATCCACGTTCTTCCGCTCCCTCTGACCTGCCAGATGCCCATTTTCTTCCTGAGAGATGACATCCTTGGAGACAGAGGGCAGGTGCCCAGCTCTCCATGCTCGGTCCCCACTGCTCAGGGACACAGGTCCTCCTGGCTGCGAGGTCTGGCTCCCTGGGACATTCAGTTCCTCCGCCTCCTCTGCAGAGTCTATGTTCTTGAAGCTCAGGCACCTCATCCGAGACACGGAACTCACCTCTTTCATTCTTATCAAGCGGTCAGGGTCCGCCCTCCTCTGGGGGGATGCCAGTTTTTCTTGTAAACTTTCAATTGCTTTGGAAGGGTTTCTGAGCCTCTTTTCTGAGCCTGCCACATTTGGGGTCCTTTCTATAAAATGGAACAAAGTGGACCTGAAGGGTGGTTTTGACCCCACATCCTTTGGCTCAAAGGACTTGGACTCCAAATGGTTGGGCTGAGGCTCAGGGCTGGTGGGTTTACTGGTAAGGACCCCATCCACATTCAAGTGCTCACAAGTCTGGGGAGCCCTTTCCCCTACAAAGAGGGGGCTTTCCGTCCAGCCACACTTTCTCCTGCCATAGAAGGCATCAGTGGTAATCAGGGGTGCATCTGATGGCACTGAGCTGGGTAGAGACTTTTCCTTGGAGGATTCTGGGCTGCAGGCACTTGCATCAGACTTGGGTGGTTGGCTCTGTCCTGCTCTGGTGCCCCGCAGGAGAGACTCTACAGCCACCTCAATGCCCAGAATCCTTTCTGCCCTCTCCTGCAGGGACTCCTCTTGGGGTATTTCTATTGCTCTTCCTTTACCCAAAGATCCATCTAACTTACTGACATTCTGTTCTTGCCCCATTGTGAGCCCCACAGACCGTAAGTCTGGTGCTGAGAGGCCTCGATTTTTGACAGTAAGGGACAGTGGGACCTCTGTGCCCTTCTCTTTACCATCATTCTCCGGAGAGACCCCTTTGTTCAGCTGCACAGAACTTAGAGCATTGGTGAGTTTCAGACTTTCTGGTGGCTTTTTAGATTCAGCCAGATAGGACAGAGGTGCTGGTTTTGTGTCACTTGGTCTTGAAGACATCATTCTTTTCACAGGACCTGGGCCGATTAGCAGCTCATTCATTCCATTTACAACCTTTTGGCATTGCTTCTCTGTAAGTAGGCCTCCATCTGCCAACTGGAAAGCGCCAATTCTGCCATCTTCCACCTGCACAGGGCCTGGGAATTGAGGACGGGCACAGGGGTGGCCAGGATTTGGTTCCTCGCTCCAGCTCTCAAATCTACTTATAATTCTTCCCAAATGAAACCCTGGGTCCTCTGACGCCGCCACCCCCGGCTGCTGCTCCTTGTTTTCACGGAAGCCCTGGTTCCTCAGTCTGGAGTCAGCGTAGTCTTCCTGCTGCTGTTCGGTCTCACTTTCCTCAAGGCTGCTGTTGTAGCTTTCTTCCTCTTCTTGAAGCTCCTTGTTGAAACTTTCTAACTGACTGATCAGATCCCAAGGTCGACGACTAACTGGTTTCAAGAGAAACTGACCAAATGGCTGTTTACTGTTGCAGGGGCCCGCCATGGGTTCCCCCTTCACCACCTCAGGCTTAGGTGCAGGGTGGGCTTCATGTTCTTGGACAACCACACAAGGCTGACTCTGGCCCACTTTTGGCACAGGTGCCTGATTCACAGATGAGGAAGTCCTTGAGAAAGCACTATTGCTAGATGGGCTGAGGGACATTTGACCTTTTAGGTTATGAGCATCTGGGTTCTGCTTTTGGTCACCAGACACTAATGCTGTGTGCAAGAGAGCTCTGGAGGCAGGGGGTTCTATGGATTTGGGGGCTGGTGCTGTGTTACTCGTCCCTCCCAGGTTTTCATCAGGAAGGAGCTGGGATCTTTGGGATTCTTCAGAGAAACTGGTTTGAGTTTGCTGATCTTTGTATTGATGCCCTGGCCACGGGCTAGAATACTTGAACTCTCTGTGTTTTGCAAGGTGGATAAATCTGAGGTCATGTGTTTGTCTGTCTTCTTCTGGTTCCCTCAGATCGTGTTTTGTGAACTCTGCTCTCCCGACCATGCTTCCTGTGAGAGCTTGCAGCTCCAGGTCAGTGGAAGACGTGCTCAACAGACTTTGTTCCTGCAGAGCTGTGCTCTTATCAACCCTGTGCTTTTTATCAGCACTCTGTTTTAAGTCATTGTTGTTCGTATCTATATCTGGCAGATGTGATTCTGATTTAACTGGGATGGAAACCAAACAAAATATAGTCTCGTTCATTTTTTTCTTTGAAGTTTTCTTGGTCTGGATCCCAGTTTCAAACTTTCTGAGTTTGGTTTGGATTTCCCAGGTACTTTCACTCTGTGGGTCTGGGGAGGAAACCTGGCCTTCCTCACGTCCATGCTGGCCTCCTCTTATGCCAGTCCACTGTTCTCTTACAACGCTGGGATCTCTCTGGTCAGAGAAGCTTCCATCTTCCCCACTCCCAGGGCGCTGGCCCCAGAGCCACCGGGGGCTGGGATCAGCAAAGGCCAGGCTCCTCTCATTCTCCGACAGGGGTATTGGGCCCTGTGCATTCACAAGGGCACCATCGCATTTCATTTTCCCATGAGCTGGCTCTTGGGCAGTAACGGGACCAGAGTGATATGGTCTATCATCAAGCTTCATCTCTTCACAGAAACCCATGGGTTTAGCTAGTTTAATATGTCGTATCCGTGGATCATCAAAGGGGATGTACTGAACAGAGCTTTCATGGGCAGTGACAGGACTGGGGAACTGAGGGAGCCCTCGAGGAGAGCCAGGGCTCGTGCTGTACTCACTCCCTGTTCCAATGACACCAGAAGGACGTGGACAACTGGCCCCAGGCTTCTCAGTCAGATGTGGCGGTTGACTGTGTTCACTACTCACGTGTCTGGGTGCTGTATCTTCCAGGTAGGGGTTTGGGATATGCTGGGGGGGCGACCTGTATGAAGGCGGAGGCACATAAACTGGAGGCTCCAAGCCAGAATCTGACATGCTGAGCTCATGCCTGGAGTCATTAGTTTTGGTCAGGTAGGAACCGTGGGGGTCCGTTTGCTGGCTGCCCTGAAAGTCGCTGTTCTCTCCTCTGGTCTGCTGGTGTGAGCCATACAATGGAGGCTTGAGGGGTCTCCCAAATTTAGGCCGGGAAAAAGGGGTCAGGGAGCCACCCTTCTCAGGGTTCCTTGTGGACTCCAAATGTGGCACACAATTTGGAGCATACGGTGATATCAAAGGAATATCTGGTACATGTCCATCACTTAATGGAATGGGAATTTCCATGCAGCTCAGGCTATCAGGGGAAAGGCCTCGAGGCAATGACCGGGATTTCTTTTTGTTCTGAGAAGTCAACACATGTTCACCTTGAATGAATGGGTACAGCTCTTGAAACAACTTCTCCCCATCACCATCAGACATCTGCTTCCCTAACTTCCTTGGCTGGTTCCAGCTTTCCAGGCTTACGTTCTGCCACTTGGCAGGACCCGACATCCTCAACTCTTCTTCCCAAACTGCCTTCTTCATCACGTCCTCTGTCCTTCCTCCGACTTCCCATGAACCCTCCCTCACGTGGATGGGCATACTGTGGGCTTGGGCCATTCCTCTGACCTCCAGGTCTTGCCGGTCTCTTGGACTCAGCAAGCTACTGACCTCCTGTCCTCCTCTTCTCCAATAGGCCTGGTTGTTACCGATCTGGGGCTGAGAGGACCATGCTAAGGTGGGTCGATTATAAAACCTACAAAAGAAACAAAGAGGCGTAGATGTTACACCCAGAAGAAACATGCCCTTCTCTGCTTCTGTGGCTGGTGTGAAATCAAACTTAAGTTAGTGCCTTTGAAAGATTGCTACCCAATCACAGTGTTTGCCAATTTTAAGGAAAACAAGTCCCAATGATCATAGGTGGAGGACAGCCACATATTTTGCCAGCAAAGGCTGAGGAGTGGCAGCAGCAGGCTGCCCAGAAGAACATAAAGGATGCTGGGTGTATGAGATATCAAGGCTTTTACGTTAAAACCCCCAAGGAACAAGGGCATGCCCTGGAACAGTTCCTCAAGGTGTGGCCTTGGACAATCTGAGCACATTCCTGGCTAAATCCAGACTTACTGAGCAATCTCTGGGAACCTGCTTTTGATGATGCCACTCCACAGCAGTGATTGTTAATCTTCAGGGGGAGTGGGAATCACAGAAGGGTTGCTAAAACACTGGCTGCTGACTCCCTTCCCATTTCTCATTCAGAGTAACTGGACAGGGCTGTAGGAATGTCTAACAAGGTTTGGGCAGGGGATGCTGCTGGTCCTAGGACTTTACTTGGACAGTCAGTACGGTGTCAACATGATTGTACATCTGAATCAGGAGGGATCTTACAAATCCCAGTGGCCAAGCAGTGTCCTAGATGCATCACATTATAAATTTGAACATCAGGAGTGATCAGGCATCAGAATTCCTCCAGGTTTCCCCAGGTGTCCCTGGTATGCAGCCGAGACTGAATACCACAGGCATACTTCCCCTATGGTGAGGATCACCCAGTCATGCACAGCATAAGGTTAGTAAATGATATTCGCATATCTGACAGTATTCTCGTAAGATTATAAATGGAACTGAAAAATCCCTACTACCTAGTAATGCTGTAGCCACTGTAACGTTGCAGTGTAACACATTATTCATGTGTATGGGGGGAGGCTGGTGTAAACACGCCTGTTGCATTGCCAGTCATATAAAATACAGCACATATAGTTATGTATAGTCATAATACTTGATAATAAATGACTATGCTATTGGTTTATATATTTAGTACACAATATTTTTGTCATTCATTTAATTGTACTTCTTCTACTTCTTCAAAAAATCTATTGTAAAACAGTGGCAGCCTCGTACATTTAGCCTCTCTCTTAATTGCACCAAGAGGCCATATTGCATGATTGACCTATGCCAGAGATTTGTACAAGGACAAAGTCACCTAAGTACAATTTCTCAGAATGTGGCTCTATCATTTGGTGACATGTGACTGTATATACATTACCAAATCTCAACCCAGGAAAGTTCAAATTCAGTAGGTCTGGGTCTAGCCCAGGCATCTGTGTTTTGAACAAGCAGTCCAGGGGATTCTTATCCTTAAGCTATTTGGGAAATACTGCTATGGCTGATTTTGAGATTGATCAGAGGAAGAGCAGGTACAGATGGAGAGTGGGCTGTGTTTGTGGGAAATTTTGTCAGGCAGGAAATGGTAGTATCAAATGCAGGCTGTGCTTCACTACCTGATAGTACATACTGCTTTCCCAGTAAGCCCTCAGAAAATACAGATACCAGGACCCAACCCCAGAAATTTGGATTTAATTGATCTTGTAAGGAGCCTGATAGCACTTTATTTCAAAATCTCTCCAGATGGTTCTAACAGGCATCTAGGGGTTTAGAATCATAGTTCTAATGCAACCAATGAAATTATCCATATAACACTGTTACACTGTGCACGAATATTATGATACCAACTACAAATGACCAGATAGTAGAAACATTAACTGGAAGGGAGCCTGGGGGACTCAACTATTTTGATTAACCATGGGCTAAGCAGATGAGAATGTCAACTCTAAAACCATTTTTTGTAGATTATTAAAGTATTTTATATTCATTGTTGAAAATGAATGTTGGAAAAACATAGAAAGTACAAAACAAACATTACTTGTAATCCTGTTATTCTCAGAGATAGTCACTTTAATATGTGTCTTCTAGTCTATGTGTATATGAAAACATGGATTTTCAAACAGCCTCAGTATTCTAGGCATCTGGGCTCACAGGAACGTCTCCCGTACCCATGCTACATACCACAGCTAACCAACAGTGGCTGCTTCATACCAGCTCCACATTGAGTGTTTTCTGTCCATTTATTCACTTAAACCTCACCAGCATCCCTCTGTGGTAGGAACAATTGTCATTGCCATTTTACAGAGAGGGAAACTGAGACTGGGAAATTGGGCACTTATACTATGCTGTGCATTGTGCTAAGCCCATGCAATGACTTCTTCCATTTAAACTGTACAAACAAATGAATTTCATGATTGATTTTTCTATTTCTATAAGGAATGACATTGGGATTTTAATTGGAATTGCATTGAATCTGTATAGAGCTTTGGGTAGTATGGCCATTTTGACAATTTTGACAACATTAATTCTGTCTATCTAAGAGCATGAGAGATCTTTCCATTTTCTAAGGTCTTCTTCTATTTCTTTCTTTAGTGTTCTGTACTTTTCATTGTAGAGGTCTTTCACCTCATTTGTTAAATTGATTCCCAAGTTGTTTTTTTCCTTTGAGGCTATTTTGAATTTCTCTTTCAGAGGATTTATCAGTGATATATAGAAATGCATTTGATTTATGGGTATTGATTTTATATCCTACTACTTTGCTGAATTCATTTATTAATTCTAGAAGTTTTCTGGTAGAGTTTTTTGGATCCTCTAGGTATAGAATCATGTTGTCAGCAAATGATAGGTTGAGTTCTGCTTTTCCTATCAGTATCCATTTAATTTCTTTCATCTGTCTAATTGCTCTGGCTAGAGTTTCAAGAACTATGTTGAATAGAAGTGGTGAAAGAGGGCATCCTTTCTTGTTTCAGTTTTTAAAGGGAATGCTTCCAATTTTTCTCCATTTAGAATGATGTTGGCCTTGGGTTTAGCACAGATAGCTTTGACAATGTCAGATATGTTCCTACTATCCCTAGTTTTTCTAGTGTTTTGAACAGGAACGGTGCTGTATTTTGTCTAATGCTTTCTGTGCATCAATTGATATAAAGAATCATAAGATTCTTATCATTAAGTCTATTGATGTGATGGATTACATTTATTGATTTCCGTATATTGCACCAACCCTGCATCCCTGATATGGACTCCACTTGACCATGGTGCGCTATGCATATGTGGTACAACTCTACGTCGTGTCCAGCCAATGAAAAGTTGTGCTCCATATGTGTATAATGAATCAAAAAGCTTTCTGCTCTCATGTATAAATTATTAGAACTAATAAAAATAAATTAAAAAAATAAACTATATGACCACCTTTACTTCCCCCTATGCCAGGTAAGGAAACTGAGGCACAGATATGCTAAAAAACTTTCCTAAATTACATAATTTTTACAAAGCTGGGAAATAATTAACCACTGTGTCTTTACTTTTTCAATGTAATGAAAACTTCTTCAAGTGCTTAATTACCATGGGTGAACAGTATTCCATCATACATACATACCACTGTACCAGTATGGACGTTTATGTAAATTCCATCCAAACACACTTTGAGAAACACTACTGTCCACAAACACTGAATGCAAGCTCATAAGCTTAGAATAAATCCCTAGTTTTTTAAAATGACTGAGAAGTCAAGAAGCACACTGTTGAGTTGACCTTACATTAACCACTTCAATGTAGAGTCCCTCCTGCCATGTAGAGGACAGCTGGCTTTATTGAACCTTTTCATCCCGACAGAGTATAATTGTTTTTCCTCTTGAGATAAGTGGAAATAACTTCTGGTTATTTGAATTTGCATTTCTTTGATTACCAGAAGGTCAATTTTTTCATGTGCTTAAGTGTCATAAAGTGATTTCTACAACATAGTCCACTTCTCGGCTGGTGGTAGGCCAAATGAAAACTACAGGGAACAGGGAGGGACTCAGAGCCATGCAGCAACGGCACCTAAAGGCCCAGGGATTGACTGGGCTAAGGGGAACCATTCCCAACACATAGATAGAAGGTTACAGCTCTGCAAGGAACGCCAATAAAAAATTATGTTATTATTAATATCATTCTTATTTTGGAATTACTTCTTTGCATTACAAGATGAGGGTAGCCCTGAGTCACTTGTTAAGTATCCACTTTTAGCAACTTAGTGATGGGTAGAAAACATCGGAAATCATTTTGAGGTAAAGCGTGTGGCCCTATGCAGCGCAGATGCTTCTGTACTTACTACTCACAGGCTGTCGACACCAGGGTGGGAGGAGGTCACGATTTCATTGTTGCTTTTGTTGTCATCAGAATCGTGTTTGGAACACTCTGGGTTTAGAATGCTTAGCAGGGCCATTCTGGGGTCCGGTACTATCAGGATGATCATTTTGGAGGCTACCGCGCCTTGCACATCTACCCACTCTGAGAGCTGCAGTTTCTTCTCCTAGAGACTCCTGCATGATTGCCCATCCGTAGCATGAGAAAAACCTTAGAAGGTAAACCACTTATAAGTCTTTAGTACCAGGCTAGTACTGAAAAGGTGTTGCTCAGTGGTAGAGAGCTTAAGCATGTGTAAGGCCCTGGGTTCCATCCCGAGCACAGGGGTGGGGCAGGGAGGAGTCTTCAGTACACACTGGCTACAGGGTATCAGACTCTATAGAAAGTTCAGGGGCAAGACTTAAAAACCACAACTTAATAAGACATTGCCATTGTCACAGCTTCAACTGTGAGAGTGCACAATAATTCATGGGGTATGTGGGGAATGCTTGGCAGCAAAACTATCTACTTTGTTCTACCCTTAAGCTGATCTCATAAGTGGGCTTCATACACCCAAGGCTTTATTAAACATTATTCTTATTCCTTAACCTTATAAACATTTTCAGGAGTGCTCAACTTTATAATCTGGCTCTTTTTCTCAATTGATATTCTGGTTTCACAGTGAACATATGTTGTGCTCAGAGAGGTAGCTGAAATCCCAAGGGGCTATTGATATAGGTACATACCCACGCACAATCAGATGATGTATAAAAT